CTCGATGGACGGGATGGCGAGCACAACGAGGAAATCACGCTCCCCCCACGTGCGCACAACACTGCGTGGGACGTACTGCAGGGACTCACTGTCAAATGCGGCGTGCCCACGGCGGGAATCATTCTTAATCCGAGTATTCAGCGCGTCGTGTAGAGACTCACCCGACAGAAACGAATATCTCTCATTCATTTGTTGGAAGCCGATCATAATTGTCAGGAGAAAGAGGCAACAGGCACAAGCACGAGCTGTGCCCCGTAGGCGGCGGTGTGCCATGGCCGATGCGCTACTGTGGAGAGAAGAGAGTCAGGGGAGAGAATGCACCAGGCAGCTGCAGCAGTGGGGGTGGGCGGGTGAGTGCCACCAGCAGCAGGAGCAGCAGTAAGTCACGCAGAACACACATCAACTACAGCCATCCTGCGGGACTGCAGGCACCGCAGTCAGCAGAGAATAGGGACGGCTTGCGATTGTAGATGTCTACCAGCGAAGGGCAAGGCTTTAAAAAGTCAGCACAAAGTTGTACAAAAGACGAACGCAAACATCTGCAGACAGGGTAAACACGTCGAATTCCGTTTCCCGAAAAAAAAAACAATTGTGGTTCACTGAACGAAATACTTTTTCAATAGTTTAACAAACAAAACGCAACATATGACGAGCGCAGCACTTCCAAAGTTTGTAAATATCTCTTTTGCTGTGGCCGCCCAATTCCATTAGTGTAGAATATCCCTTTACTGGTGGGAGGTGCAGGGCAAGAGAGGCCGGAGTAACGTGCAATGTCCGATTTTTACCACGGCCACTGTGGAATCGGCACCCACTATCCTCCACCACCACCAATGTGGAGTCCCGCACCTCCAACCGTAGTATCTGCCCCACCATCACGTCCTCGTGTTGCATATTATAGTAGAGAAACTGCCCCTCTCTCTCCTTGTTGTAGGGCAAATCCACCAGCCGTCGCACTGGCTCAAACGACACAAGCTGCTGCACCACGTCCCTCGCAAGAGTGTAGAGCATCCCGGAAAAGTAATGAAACTCGTGTATAACATTATTCTTTCGTGCAGTTGCGTCAGTACGGAGCCCCCAATACACCCCACGGCGAGGCAGCGTGCGCAGGTCAAGAAGGTACTGCGGCACGCGCAGGAATGTGTCGTCATCGGCCTTCGCGAAGTATCGCACAGTCGGGAACAACCGCAGCGCCATGTCGAACCACCGGAACACCTTGCGGCTCAGCCCGATCTCAGCCTCATTGCCCCACTTGAGGTCACCAATCGTCTTGTTGGTCGATGGGCGCCCCTCATTCATCGGCAGTGCAATCACATCATTCTGCTCCGCCGCCGCCTCCTGCCGCAACGAAGCAGAGTACGTGAAGTTGTGCGACGGGTGACGTACAGCACGAGCGTCGTTCCGTGTAAATTGTTTAATTTCGTCGCCTCGCTGGGGAACCGCCAGCTTCTCAACCTTTGGATGCTCGTATCGCCTTTTCATTTTCTCATGTCCACCAAGAGGGTATGCTGCCTTTTTCAGCAAGGTATACGTTTGGGGCCGTAAAGAGTACCATCAACAGAAGGAACACCGTCGCGCACCGGGGTGTAGCCAACAGCTCCCTGGCATCCTCACCTCCACCGAGCTCCTCTCACCGATTTAATGTCTCAGTACAGACGTAAGAGTGCAACGAACTGAGACCAACAACTTAGAATAGAATGCCGACTTCGCTCATTTGTTTTCGTCTTCTTTCTTCTACGGGCCTGTAGCGCACGTGAAGTGTTTGCCTCTTTTCGCTTCTGCTGCGATGGGCGACAAGAGGGTGCTGGTGCCGATCTTCATATGCAAGCAGGTCGCACCCTCATGATGGCATTTCCGTAACTACGCACAACTCCAAGCAAACAGTGAAGTTGTGTTGGTGGTCGGCCGGATATCAACGTTCCCGAACAGCTTTCAGCCACGTCGATGTGCAGGTAAGGTTTAGCCTGGCCGCTGCCCGCAGTGCAGGGAGCACCACAGCCTCTTCACGCACAGAGTGTCTCATGAAAGTTATCTGCGTCACACCAAAACGGCAAATGCCACCATTTAAACGTATCCAGAGTTCTTAGTAGGCCTCTCCCCAAAGACGTCCCTTTGTCATGAATCTACGTAGATCAGATGGAAGAAAGGATGCGCATGCGTTCCAGGTGTAACTTGCACGAACCAAATAGTAAGTAGGGCAGGCAGCTGCTGGAGCCCATGCATCAGGAGCATCCCAACCACACCTGTCAAGAGCACATAACGGCGTTTAGGCACGGATGAGCGGGTTTAACATACGAAACCAGTCATACCTCCACCAGCCGTCACGACGGGTCGATATATGAAGGTCAACGGCGGCCCTGCTGCAAATACAGCCCTGTGCCGTCGTCGCCCTTTGAATGGGCATCACATAAAATAGTAGACATGTCACCTGAATGTACAACGGTATGGCATGTGGTCTAAAGAATACTTCTCTACGCTTCCTACGACAGTGATTGCATCGTCAAAGAAATGAAACATCATACATCAACTCCACGCAAACGCACAGAGAGAAACAAGCACACACACCGGAAGATGCGTGCGGCTCCATGAAGGAATATTATAAATATCGCAGAGAAAGTCGTATGGACTTCGATGTGACGGGAAAATACTGCGAACATGCCATCTAGTTCAACCACAGAGCGCACTGCAGATAATTGACACTGATCATCATTGTGACAACAAATTCATATTCTTCACGACAAAGACAAGAGGGTGATGCTTGGGACTACAACAAACAGAGAATAATTATGATTAGCAAGTGTCTGAAAGAAACCATGAAACAAAACACGTAGATACACCACCACGAATACTTTCCTTATATATATATATATATATATATATAATTAATTTTGTGCAGCGTAGCGGCAGAGCCTGCGCATCCACAGTTATCCTATGAGACAATCTCAAAACGACGTCCTTACTGTGCCGTAGATGGTGGACCCCGTGCCAAACACCACCGCCACCACTCCGAATATCAGGAGTAAGTAGGTGCAGCTATAGTTGAGGGAGCCCACTTCCCTCTTGGAAAAGTTGCCTGAGTACATATAGAACAGCGGAGGGAATATGAGCCCAATGGTGCCACCACAGAAAGCGCCAAGTAGCCCCAAAACCGTGTTCACCTTTGGAATAAATAATCCGCAGAGAAGCGCAAGAAACGCAGGAATCAGCATGGCGATGCCATGCTTCCAGTACGGCACTGTGTCAATATCCCAGCGAAGGCAGTGGTACATGGCATCACGCAGAGGGATGAAGTGCAGAGCAAATGCCACGCATATTTTAAACACAATGCCGACGTAGGCCACCGCCATCATTGGCTCGTGTACAGGGTCGTACAGAGTGAGCACCGAATCCGTCACACGTTTTCCCCATTCCAGGTAGCCAAAGAAGCCCGCAAGGAAGTAAAGCAGAGCACACACTGTCATGCTGATTGCACTGTAGAGCGTAAAGTGAAACACTGTTCGATGAGTCATCTCGTGAAAGATCTCAAAGGCGTTTAGCTGGCAGATGAAAGCGAACATATAAATCGATAGCCCTTCCAACGCAACGTTGCCTGTTTGCACCATCACAAGGCCTTCTGCAGCACCTTCTTCGACATAATGCTTCACAGAGTGTGTCATGACGCAGACAACAAAGTAAACAATGAACAACACCCCAATGGCGGAGCAGTACCGAAGCGAATTAATGCGACGTGGAATGATGAGCGGCAGCATGAAGCAAAGCCACACAATGGACGTCATAAGGCGAATTCCGGCGCTTGTCTTGAGGAAATCCGGTACCCCAGGGCTGGTGAGCACGGGAGTCAGTAGCCTACCGGTAATGATGATGTACGCCACCGATCCGCCAAAGCACAAGAACATAACGAGCGCCACCAGAAAGTAATCCATACCGGTGCCTAGCAGCAGCCTCGCCGCCTGCTCAAATGTTTGAGCCCCAGTCTTGTGGATAACCTTCGCCAGAAGATTCATGGAGTAAACCGTGGCGATTGTTACGAAAATAAGGTAGATGCTAGACATGACGACGCCACTGAGGTTGAAGGCAGCCGGCAGGGAGGTGATGCCAGCCCCCAGAGTCGCCGAGGCCAAGTTGAACGTCGACGAGAGGAGCCCACCGTACGGAACAACCTTGTTGAAGATAACTTGAAACATGTGCAGTACCTTGTTACGCCGAACGACGTCATCATGGTCTCTTTTCATAGCATTTTTGGCGTCCCCAGAGCATTCGTCTGCGCTGAGGCCCGCGCACCCATTGGCTTCGTACGGCCCGTGCATCATCGCGTCCCCCTCCCTGGCCACGGGCACTGCGTCGCGCCCAAGCATCTCTACGTCGCACGGCTCCCCGCGGAGTGCAATGCTACAGTTGTCGTGGTGCATGGCCACCTTGCCGGTGTATACGCTTCTGCAGGTGGTGTTACCCCGCTACTGACCCCGAGTGAGAACAGGAAGAAGAAGAAGAACAATAAGAAGAGCCACCAGGTCTTTCCGACAGCACCCCACCCCCTTTCTATGGGGGGTAAGGAAACTAAAAAAAAAAAAAGCACTCGACTCAGTTGATTGAAATGCTTTTGAAAGAAGTTCTCCTGGGAACCCCGCCGTTGAAATCAAAGAAGCCTTTCCGCCAAACTACATCGCTGCAGCGTGCGATTTGCTTCTCGCTTCCCCAGTCATCCCACACTTTCCGTAGTGGATAATGAATTATACAGTCATTTAGGTGTTGACGCCTTTACGATATGACAGGTAAGGACGGAATACACCTATTATCGCAAAGGCGTCAACAAATGCATGAAATCCAATCTCCACCGCATACAGTGCCCATACGGCATTCTTTCGTTTCTTGCAGTAATTATCTATGCGTAGTCCCTTCCGCTCTCCCTCCCGCAGCCTCTCGGAGAGGATTTCTTTGATGTGCCTAAATGCTACTGCTGCTACTTTTCTTGTGACCTACCACTGCCACGGGAGCTCTTGAATGTACCAAACACCCAGTCCCACAGCATGATGTACTGCCCGTAGTTGTACTTGAACTGTGAGTGGTGTAAGTCATGTGCACCCACATTGAACATGTAAGGCACGTGCAGGTCCACCCGAGTGTGGTTCAGGGCAGCCAGTGTACCGCCGATAAAAATAAACAGAATCACCGTCAGTGCATGCACCTGGCCCACAGGCGTGACACGCGTAAGCAGATACAGAGCAAAGAGGTGATTGTACTCGCCAATAACGTACTCGATCGGGTGGTCGTTAATGGAGTCGTCAATGCCGCGGAAGGGAGTCACCTGGCGGTGGTGGTGCTTGTGAATGAGTGGGTAAATCGGCGGCCAGTGGAGGCCCCAGTGAAACAGCGTGTAGAAGAAGTCATAAATAATGAAGAGCGCCACAAGGTGCACCGGCAGCCATGCCAGTGAGCGCAAGACCGCACGAACATCAAGGAAGTCAATGCACATGCGACTCACATCGGTATGCACCACGAAGCAGTACGTATGGTATACAAACAGTGCGGTGACCAGCTTCGCGAACACGATGCAGAGGCGGTCCTTCGTCGTCAGCGTCTCGAGGCGCTGCGGCCTGTCGGGAAGGCGACTCTTCACCACCGCCCCCACCAGCGGGAGGACGAGGCGACTGTAGAATGAGAAGCCGGCGTAAATGACAGCTGTGAACACCGCGTCAATCAGCAGCGTCGACATCTCAGGTGGTGTGCGCGTCCACCGGGTTTACTTGTGTTTATGTGAGGATTGTATGTGTCGGTGAGTTTGCTATGAAAAAGTATTAGAAGGCAACTGCATAAGAATTTTTTTTAAAAAAGGCATTAGGAATGATGTGCGGAGACAGCAGGCCACTACAATCAACGCTGAAAGCATACAAGCACAAAGCAATCACCCCCAAAAAAAATTGAAAACGAATAAGGCCTCAGAGGCGCCAATCAACTGCAGCTGTGTGTGAGTGTGGGTGGCGGCTAGCGCGCGTATGCGTACGTCTTGGGTGCTGTCAGCATCAACAGCAGCACGCCGCCCGTGAGCGCCACAATGACACACAAGAAGAAAGCCTGCCGTATTACTGCCCAGACCGGTACCACAACCGCATGCCAAAACATTCCCGCACCGGGCACGCCACTGAGGAGACGCGGGAGCGACGACCCACCACCGAATGCAATTCCCAGTCGATCCATCTGCTTGGATTCTGCAGTGGCCCCATCGACGCCTCGCTGCAGCAGCTCCGCATTCGCATCCAGTCGTTCACGCTCCTCCTGTATCAAGTCACTCATTCGAATGGCACCTTCCTTCATACTCTTAATAGCCCCTCGTATGTCCTCCATTACCTGCTCATGCACCGACTCCGTCGCAGAAAGTATGGGGGCCTTGGAGCCATGCACACCCGTCACAACACCACAAGCAGCAGCAGCCGCAGCAGCAGCACACTTGCGCTCATACGGTGCTGCAGCTCGTGGCGTGGATGGTTCGTCGCGGTGGTACGCGCACGCCAAGACGCGGGCAGCAACACTAACGCCGCGCGAGTCCTCGTGAACAAGAAACGGTTCACTCACAGCAAACGGCCGCGTGGGCCAGCGCTGGCGGCAAACTAAACCCACAGACGCTACAGGAATGAAGCACTGTTGGTTGTGGGTTGAAACAAACTTCGTCAAAAATTCCTCTGCGGAACGCACAATACTCGCAGCAGCCTCATCGCACAAATGTTCCTCCGCTGCCAGGCACTGTTTCCCAGTAGAAAGCAAAAATCCCAAACGACGAATACGCTTCAGCAATTCAGCGCGACGCGTGTCCAATACCGATGCATCCTCGTTCTCATCAAGACCACCTAGAATGGACTGCGCTTCCTTCAATGTACGGCTCAGGCGAACAAAACATGCGCACATGGCTCCTGATGCACCGACGCAAACAACTTAAAATATATAATAAAAACAAAAAACAACAGGCAATACAGAACGACACACCGCAGGGACACGGAGAGGCAGCGCCACTTTGCAGAACCACAATTCTGTTTTAAGGTTGTTGTGTCTGTGTGTTCAGAGCAGCTGAGGTGTGTTTAGCCTGGAAGCTACAAGCGTGGTGTACGCCTCAGAGAGGTGCTGCGCGTAGCGACGCAGTACTTTCACTTCCTCGTGCACACCTTCAGCTGAGTGCAGCAACACCGCAGAAACACTGCAGCCCTTTGCAAACAGGGCATATGCCAGTCGACGGCGATTCATACATGTAATCAGCGGAATGCCGTTTACAGCACAATGGGACCGAATTTCCTCCAGCGTCCCACTCACACCTAACTCTGACACAGTCATTTTCTTCGCGCTGGGTGCGCCGCCCTTGCATGGAGCGGGTGGTGCCTCGTCGTTGTGACCGTGCTGCACATGAGCAGCAGTGTTGAATTCAATGTCGGAGGCAAGCAGCACTACGGGAATGCGCGTGGCGGCGGCGCGCAGCCCCTTGAGTGTCTCGCGAAGCCCAGTGGAGTAAAAGCGTCTCCCCTTGAATTGAAGTGGCTTCTCCTTCTTCATGCGCCTCTGCAGCTGGTACTGCTGTTGCAGGATCGTAAAGACAAGGTCATCCAGCTCATCAGTAATGATGTTTCTGCAGTATGGGCCCACGTACTTTGTGCCAGATGACACGGGTGGAAGTCTGCAGGCCGCTTGTTCCGTTGCGTCGCCCAAATGGAGCAGCGCATCGCCACTGATGCGCCGCGGGTATCTGCTGCTGCGCTGATCAATCAGCTCCGTGTGAGGGTGGGCCCCAACACCCATCGACGCAAGCGAAGGGTAAAAGTTCACGTAGTTTGGCTCGCTTGTCACTGCAGAGGAGCTGTCAGCGTCGTTGCTGTGTGCTTCACCGAGTGCCCCAGAGGAAGCTGTAGCCACTGCAGTTGTTTCATCTGTGGCTTCCCCCACCAACGCCTCCATACGCCACTTCAACGCGGTATAATTCAAACGCTTCTTGAGGTGTCGTATCTTTCCAATGCAGCGCCCTGCCTTCGCGTACTCCTTCGACCGCATTGCGCGATGCAGTTCGCCGTGCGCCGCCTCCAGCTCCGCAACAAGAGATTGCATATGCCGCAGCAACTCGCACTGCGGATTAACGCCATCTCCAGCGGGAGATTTGCTTGGCGCACCGCCAGAGTCACCAGTGAGACCTTCGCTTGGGTTGCTGTACAGCGCACCTTCCGCAAGGGCCTTGAAGACCGTCTTTCGTTCCTCAATGATTCTCCGTTTCAGTTTAGAGAAGCGCGCACGATGATTGAACGGGGCACTGGGGTCTCTTCGTGTTCCCTTCAGGTAACCGCTCTGAGCATGAGAGGCCCCACCGTTTCTTCTCATGCGCCTCCCCCACGGCCCTAATGTACGTACAGCACGTGGAAGGAGCCGTACGCTGCGCTTCTCACTGTCACGGTGAGATGCAGTAACCTTCCGCCCAATGGATGCATCTGCTTGCTGCCGCAGCCTCTGCTGCTGTTCACGCGCCCCCCTCGATGCCGTGGGGAGTGGCAGGAAATCACAGATGCAGACGACAGCTCTGCACGCCGCGCGCCTGCTGCCGCAACTCCGTTGCGGGGGAACGTTTTCGCGTCGAGTGGGTCCCCCCAGTCTCTTCTTGGGCTCACCTGGCATGCCTTGCGAGAAAGGTGTGAGGGAAGAAGGAACGCAACAAGACGCGTGAGGTGAGAGGCCATACCACACATACTTCATGTGAATTGGAGAGCCATACACATTACGGCGCGTCATTTGCCGCCATGGGACCGTGATCAAAGGTGCCAGGGTGTCAACACGCACATACGTGAGCAGAGACTTAGTAGACACCCGTCAGAAATTGTGTTGTTGTTGTTGTTGTTGTGAAGCGTGCGAGTAACGGGAAAGGACAAAAAACATATATAAAAGCGCGAGAAACAAATAGCTGCACAGACAGGGAGTAAAACTAAAAGAGTCCAGAAACCGGCCAACATGGTGTCGTCACTGAGTGCATGCACCGCTACAAACAACAGTAAACCGCAGAAAAGCACATGCGATGCCCCCACACCACCACCACCACCACCACCACCAAGAAAAAAGCTCTTCTTCATTCAGCTTCATTGCACTTCACATCCGTCACAGAAGCACACACAGACACATAGATATATGAATGTCAAGAATGTGCAGAATGACTCTGACACTTTCAGAAGGCACTATGTTTGCCAAGATAAAGCTCACTGAGATAAATCGCCCGACCAGGGCGTCGCTGTCTATTCAATCTGCCAGCTCAATCGCACACAGTAACAGTCCAGCGTTCCATGCCACCATGGCATTGCGAACACGGGGGAGGAAATCATGCGCTCGGCCCTCCTGTATGACGGCATAGCAGCCGCACAACGGCACCCACGAAGATGACTGTTTTTTTTTTTTTTNGGATGAACAAAAAATCACGGGAGAAGAAACAAATAAAAAAAAGAAACAAAAAATGAAAAAAAAATCTCTATACCGAATGGCTACTTCGACAATAGGAAAGGAATAAAAAAATACGTGGGGGGTGAGGGCGTGGAGGCGTGTGGGCAGCGTCAACAACACAAGCGCCGCTTCTATCGTGTGTTTCCCCACGCATCAGCCCAACTCGACGGGGACACCCACACCACACGTACCCCACATGCATGTGATTGGGATTCAATGCTCGAAAACAATAGTTTTCTCCTTGAATGGATGCCGCTCACGAGCAATACGCTATCAGACGCCCACACACACACATATATATATATAAATATATATACCTCACATTCAACAAATTGCGGCACTACGACTCGGTGCTGAGTGTATCATTCGTATCATCGCTGGAGGACCCGCAAGGAAGTGTGTCGGTTTCCGTTCCACTCAAAGTGAGAAAGTCTCCTATTTCTGTTTGGTTATACCACTCAAAATTCTCCACGCGTATCACGTGCGGCAGCGGCTCTTCTGCAGGAAGTATATCCGTTGAAGGAGATGAAGTGCTTCTCCACTCATTCAAATCATACAGTGCAGTGATTTCAGAAGCGTGTTGCGACAGTCGCGCCTCACTTTTTGTTTCAGAGGCACGATATGAATCATTTTCTGATGGAATCATTGGGCTTTTTGTGTGTGAGGTGCCTCGCGGTAGAGCCTTCTCACGGTCCATATGGTGCTCCACAAGCGTCCGAAGATCAATCCGGCAGCACTTGTCATTGGAAGCGCCGATGCCACTAGCAGTGTCAGCACAAACTAATACATACTTCGGCACCGCACCACTCATTGGCTGCAAGGCCTCATCTACAACAAACATGACACGAGATTCAGCGGAGGTATTCTCTGCAGGCGTGGAGGCAAAGGCCATTAAAACACATGGTGGCCGCGAGGTGTTGCCTTGCTGATTCCCACGAGAGAGCTTGATGTGCGTCGGAAAACCAGCCGGCCTCCATTCCCGAGGATGTGCGGCTTCATAACTTGTAGTGCCCGGGGACGAAGTAAACGCCGCATCAGAAGGAGAAATTGACCTCTGCGGTGCGTTGGACGCGCAATCCCTCCCACTCAAAAGAGTAGCAGCAGACATGTGTGTGCCCTTAGGAGAATTGTCACCTCTGCAGCTGCGTACATCTGTCTCATACGCATCCTCCAAAAATGGACGTACTGTTCGACCAAAGCAAGGGCAAGCCGCCTCCCCTCCTCTACTGCAGCCCATTTCTCCATTCCCATTCACCCCACAATGCACAGAAGGGCCAATACATGGCTCAGACGAATCCTTCGCCTCATTTCCCACGGCAACAGAAGAACCAGCAGTCGCAGCCACTTTTGCGCAGAAACATCTCATGTGGTCGTGTGATCTCCCGACATCTGCCGGGGGCACCATGTTCGTCGAGGACGGAGGCGGTGGAGCAGCCACAGCGAGGTCTTCCGTCGATGCATGATGTGAATTCAGCAGACTTAACGCCTCCCTGGACTGATTCTCCGCATGGAAGCCTGCCCTCATATTTTTTAGTTGTCTTCGCCAATAGAAAAAAATGAATACCGCAATCGCTGATACCACCGCAAGGAGGACAAGCGCGACTCCCACAACTAAAGCAATGGAGTCTCCATCTTCCCCACTCGGTGACCAGTGATCGCTCACAACCGCACTCCCATCCGCCACCACAAAGTTGTGAGAATTGCCAGCAAGCGTCACACTTGCACCAAAGACGACGAACCTCACGACTTGACCGACATTGAACATGCTTACATCGAGGTCAACGAAGGAATCGTACAGCAACGCACTACTATTGCACACATTCCTCAAATTTGAAGAGGAAGTAGGAGTGATAGGCGTGCTAGATGCGCACACCAAGCAAGGCACGGTGCGGTTGGGAAGGTCACCACCACTCACCTCAACTCTTGCCCAATTTTTTGAAATACTGATCACGGTGATGGCAAATGGCTCCTTTACAACAATTATGGGGAAAGCTCCAAGCGTAATACCAGTCAAGTCTCTCTCAGCGCACAACGCATATGTGCCTAGAACTTCAGGCATCACACTTCCGGAAAAAAGGTATACGGGTTTGGACGGAGGTTCATTCGCACATGCATCGAGCCGCACTACTTCCTCCCCATTCCCTATCCCCACGCGGGGGCAGTCATTTCCCGGGCATGCGACAAGGAAGAGGCGATCTGTGTCACTCGCCAACTCGCCTGTTTTTAAATCCCGCAGCTCGACGATGGCCTCCTTGCCAGCAGTTAAGTAGAGCAAGGACGGTACAAGTAGCCTTACTTCAAGGGGAGAATGTCCCCACGGAAGACACTTGTTACGCCAACCTGACGCCCCTATACACAGCGAGTAGTTGCCTGGTGGAGGCAGCATCCGCGTAATTGTAACGTTGTAGCATCCAATCTCAGGAGTACAGGAGTCGCAGCTCGCTGAAAAGGAGTTAGTATCCTTAACCAGAAGGTAGCTCTCAACGGAATTACTCTTGGGAAAGTTCGTGTGCCACGTCACTCGTTGTCCATAGTAGGGCGCGGGTGCATAAAAAACGGTTTCAGTTGCATCGTTATCGATGATCTGCATGCCCCACTTGCTTGTCAGCGGAAGCAGTACCGGAAACTCTTCTTTCAAAGTGGTTGTGATTACAATATCAGCTCTTCCAGGAGTGGCTGCGGTATTAGGCACGAAACGAATGAGGTTTGACTCACGAATCAACGTAGCCGGCCAGCCACCGTTAAGCATTCCTTCAAAGTAGTATGAGACGCGAAGCTTCCTGCCCATCAGTGCAGCTGTGTTGTCGATCACACAAAAGTATGTAATGTTTGTAATGCAGAGTACAACGTCGGGAAAGCAGTTCGTGATAATCGCCAGAGGGCCTTGAGTAGGACTATCAGAGGCAGCCTGATAATACCCCAAAGACGTCATTCCGCGGCTGCTGCTGCTGCTGCTGCTGCTGGCGGCGGCTACAGTATAACTCAGAAAAAAGGCCACTATAAGCAAAAGTGCCAAAGCACGATGTCTTGCTTGACCCTGAGAAACGCTGCAGCCCAGCCACGCATTCAGGGACCCAACAGTGCCTCTCACACTGTCTGGGGTTACACAGCGGCACAGCAGTGTACGCCAATTCTTGTACGGGCGTGTATGTCCCACAGCCATCGATACACAGGATAGCTATTAAGAGTCTAATAGTTATCAAGAGGCAAAAAGCCAAAAAAACAACAACAAGAAAACAACAAGGCACAATGGGGCGACATAAGAAAACACTTCAAAAAAAAAAGGTTTATGACACAACAGACAGTGGTTACCCACATGTATTACATATCGAACGGGTAATAGGGTTACCTTTCGTGCTGCAGACACTCCCGCCCATGCCGGTGACAGCACCGGGTCCAGACCACGCTCAGGAACTCGTGGAGAGCGCTTGGCGTACCGTGCTGCAGCCCTCCCCTGCACTCACGTAGCCGCGTCTACTCCCGTATCTCGAAAGCACACGCTCACACTGGGACATGCGCCCAATGAACGCACTCACAACTGCATACATGAGGCTTCGACCACGGCAGGAAACTACCTCGCCAAATAGACACATGAAGGGCCACCACGCACTACGTTGCACCACAGTGCAAGCCGAACACGCTGCAGCAAGAGTGTCATAAACGAAAGGAATGCATCTCTGCAGTACACACCCTTCACAGATCCGCACCAAACCGGCGATACCGGACCGCCTCAATCAGAACCCACAATTCTATCACCCAATACAAATATAGTACACCACCGCGAGCAAATATGCTCGCCTAATAGGAGAAAAACAAGGCAGATAAGGCACGCACACAATCAAGGCTGAGCGCACACAAAACACATCCACACCGATGGCCCACAGCTACAGCAACCACAGTGGTCCCACAGCCGGTGAGATACGTGAACACGCTGGACAGCCAGCGTAGAGTCAGCACAAACAGATACACCCCACCCAACGAAAAAAAAATATATCTGTTGAAATACGAAGCACAACCTATTTCTCTCAATGCAGATGATGTGCAGATCCGGTAATATGCGTGACATAACAACCAGAAAAGGAACCAAGTACACAAGACATTCATTACAGCAAAAAGAACATACAGCTATTCCAGAAAAAAAAATAGAAGTCAAACATCCACGCGAAGCAGCAACAACAAAAAAAAAGACACACGGAGCTTAAACACGTACAACACAAACAAAAAAGGAAAACATAACACAAAGAAAAACCCCTCCCAGCATCAAATAAACAACATTCACTCCCTTTTTCACCGGGTCCGAATAAGCTCTCTCGACGCAAAAAAGGCACCGTTTAATGCCGAAGCAGCAGAGGAATTCAAACCACAAAATAAAAGCCACAAGCCCACACAACGCAGAGTAAAAACAAAAAAAACACCAAAAACACACCACCAATAGCAACCACAAACAAAGCAACAGCGCGTAAGTGCTGACTACCCTGGCCAGACCAGAAAAAGACCCAGGCACATCACAACACAGCAGTTAAAACGGCTTACCTCGTGCCCACTTTTAACCTTCACGTGTGCAGCAGCTACGAAGCCCCTCCAACAAAAAAAAAAGGACACCCACGTTATTTTTAAAAAAGAAAAGCCACAAGACTCATAGGCTACACAATCAGTATGCACTAAAGAGCACCGCACTGTGTTTCACACCTAATAAACTCATAGAAACAGACGGAACAAAGCGCACAGCCACTGAACAAGATAATAGCAATCACCACATCGGCATCGGCATAGTGCAAACACCTCGTTCGGTGCAGCTTACGGCGGCTACGCCTCGGCCCCCCACACCCACACATGCGGCAACCACCACAGCGAAGAGGACAGCGCACGGCACACATGCGCGGGCACAACAGCACTGCGTCGGAGGTGGCGGCGTAGTCCATCCCACGCAGGGGCGCCTCGCCGCAACGCTCCGTGGCGGATGTGCCGGAGGGAAAGCCCGCACACCTCCCCCCTCAACAACACACACAGCAGGTCTATGTGTATGTATGTGTGCGTGTGTTGGTATACGGGTCCAAACAGACGCTGCACGCCCACAAGAAAAACAGCAAACGCAGCGGCTCCACAGCGGCGCACTAACACTACGGTCACAGCGGGGAATTACCACCGTGCCTACGCTATGGGTGGGAGAGGAGGGAGACACAGCAGCGTACACGACCACAACACCAGGAATACGATGCGGGCTCCAGCAACACACACACACCGCTAACCTGGTCCTGCTACTTCGAGTGGCACCACTTATTACAAAGAGAAACGAGAGCAGTGCCTCCGTACACTACCGTCGGTCCATACATCCCTGTGATGTCTATTTTAGATCTCTCATTATAATTAATTTACGATTTCCTCATGTCTACATTGTGCACAATTACGTGCGGGGTTCATATTCGTTCGCTCTTTGTAGAATCTAATAGACGTATCATATGTTATTCCATGTTTATCCCTTCCCGCCAGCCACACTCCTCGGTCCATAAGATGAGAACACAAAGCAATGTCCACCACAACAGGAGCTCATGCAGCGCCACACAGCGAATTCAGACGTGCAAAGCCACTTGCCCAATGAAGCAGGGCCACCAGTTCATCACACAGGTGCGGTGTGGTGTCGGTGTACAGCAAAATAGCTCCACACCAGCATGAGAGAAACGCAGTCAGCTTCGGTGTGCATGCACCATGAGAAGCCCCTCAGTAGGAGTTCACAGCTCCCCTACAATGCCGCTTAATACACCTCGCACAAGAAACATCAGAGAAAAGCATGCAAAAGCCGTCCAGCTCATTTCGTGCTGCACCATAAACTGTTGTGGTTCCTCGCTTGTAGCGTCCAAAGGCGTGTGACGTCCCCACACGGTTGTGGCATTGCGGGGATGAGTGAAGGACACAAACGGTGTCCCTTCCTGCCCCACCCCTATACAGACCGGGAGTGCACCAAAGTGTACGTCCACAGTCTATATTATGTTCTCTCCGCAGTGAAGGTGGGCCTCAGTGTGGGCCAACATAATAGCGAGGTTCAGAGTGTTCGGGGGAAGTTCTCAAACAATTTAGCTTTTCCAGGTATCAAAACAAATCCTCCTCCAGAAACAACAAACACAAGCCTCTTTGATGGTTAAAAATAAACAAAAAAAGATAGTAACTAAGATCAATGTATAATATCAGCATCGGATAAATAGAAAGAACTAAAACAACACGTCTGCTTCTCCAAGCAAACAAAAGAAAAGAATGTCTGCCACTCTAGCTATTAGTGACAGAGATAACATCATCTAAATCATCCCCGCCGCTCTCAACGGAACCCAATTCCGGGTACGTCCCCAAGCCACGGCCAATGAAGCCACCTCCCTGATCCTCCCCACAGGAGGANAACAAATCCTCCTCCAGAAACAACAAACACAAGCCTCTTTGATGGTTAAAAATAAACAAAAAAAGATAGTAACTAAGATCAATGTATAACAGCAATATCGGCTAAAAAAAAAAGGAAGAACTAAAACAACACGTCTGCTCCTAAAATCCGAAAAAAAATTCTCTCACTCTAGCTATTCGTGACAGAGATAACATCATCTAAATCATCACCACACACCTCAACGAAACCCAATTCCGGGTACGTCCCCAAGCCACGGCCAATGAAGCCACCTCCCTGATCCTCCCCACAGGAGGATAGCCCCTCCAAAAAGGAAGGCAAATTCACTGTGCTAGTTGCAGAC